ATTAAGCATCATCATTAAACCCAATCAAATTATATTAAGAGTGATGAGATCAACATAATAATCCAAGAACTAGACACTCAAAACGTCCATAACTGGGGACACGGCTAACCATGATTAGTTTATACACTCTGCAGAGGTTTGCACACTTTTCCCCACAAGACTCGATCTCCTCCGTTGGATTTCTCGCACTACATGGTGTTTGAGAAACGGATGACCGTGACACAGTCTTTCAGAAGCATTAACTCTCTACTCTGGATAGACAGTACCACCTACAACCCACTACATCTGCTAGTCTACCTCTTCGAGAGCTTCACGCAACTTACTCAACTATGCCAGAGCCCATAATGGCTTGTGGCTGCACATGGAAGTTTCTAGCATGAATAATCTTATGATCCCTTTGAGCCTGGGTGGCTGGCCGTAGGATGATCACACAGGTCCTCCGGGATATCCTAGGACAACACTGGTTTCTCCAGGTGCCCACAAGCAATCCACCCAAGTTGCCACCTTAAGTTGAACCATTAATTAACAAACTCACATTTTCCATGAATACACTCAAACCCAATCCACGTCTACTAGCATAGCATAGCAATATAAGCAACATAGAAGTAACTCCCATAGGTTTGGTAATAAGTAGGTGAATAGGTACTACCTCATCTACTTCCCAAAACCCACGAGTTAATCAAATCCTAACCATGCAATTGTTTGAGGATTGATCTAATGCAATAAAACTGGGTAGTAAAAAGGTATGATCAAAGTGTTACTTGCCTTGCTGATGATCCGTGAAACCTAGAGACTTGTAGTAGCACGCTTCGCACTTCAGGTACTCTATCGCAATCAAACAAGCATACAATAAGCACTCAACTAGAAGCACGGGTAAAACTCAAATAAGAAATCTAACCAGAAGGTTCAACTTAAGAACTCCGGTTTGCAAAAAGAATCAAACCAAACGAAGCAACGAAACTCAAACTGCGAAAGAAACAAGATCCGTTTACTAATCTGAACTTAAGACAAATTTTACAGTAGCAAAATCTTGTTCAAGTTGGTTAAACAAAAAGAGGGCTTCGAAACGAAGATCTTGGCGCTTGAATCGCCTGATTCCAATAAACAAGCGAAAAGATAAACTAAAACAAAAATCGGGTCAGAAATCGCGATAAAAAATAATCACGGAAAAACCCTGGAAAAAGAAAAACTGACGAACAGGCTAACGAACGAACGTTCGTTGTCTGCGGTTAATGAGTGAAAACCGTTCATTAAAAAGAACGTACGAATGGGCATTCTCTAAATAATTAAACCGGGGGAAAAAATAAAAACCGATCTAAAAAAATAGTGAGGGTTCTAAAAAAACCAAACGGCTTTCTAACGAAAACCGACAGCTACCTCGGGACGCGTGACGGCGGCAGCGTGCGGCGGGGCGGCGGCGTGCGGCGGGGCGGCGACGTGCGGCAGGGTGCCGGCAGCAATAGCAGCAGCAGCAGCGCTAGGGTTAGGGTTAGGCGCGGGTGGCGGCTTGGGCTGCGGCGGCTCGGGCCTTCGGCTTATAAAGGCCGCCCGGGCGCAGTGTCTAGGTCGGACACGGCCCGGTAAGTCGGTTGACTTTTTTCTAATTAAAAATTCTGCACAGAGAAACAAAGAAAAGAAATACTAAACGGACTCCAAAAATTCTAAAATAAATTTTCCCCGTCCTCTAAAAATATAGTGGACAAGGTGAACATTTATTTGGGCCTATAATGCAATTTTGAAAAACGCATATTTTTCCCAATTCAAATAAAATAGCGATAAAAACTCCGAATAAAATCTTATTTTATTTTAATATTAAGTCTCCAGTATTTTTTATTTTGGGGAAGTCATTTTATCCCTTCTCTTTTATTTTCATAAAATAAATATTTGAAGAGAAAAATAATTAAAATCAAACGATCCTCTTTTCAAAAGTTGAGAAAACTCAAATATGAAAATAACAAAATCCCCAACTCTCTGTGGGTCCTTGAGTTGCGTAGAAATTTCTAGGATCAAGCCAAAATGCAATAAAATATGATATGCAATGATGATATAATGTATAACATTCCAAATTGAAAATTTGGGATGTCACAAGTTCAAGGACTTCCTTGTCCTCCCTCCACCCCGGCCGTCGACGAGGACCTGCCTCGGGGTCCGGTAGCGGCGGTCGGGGACGTGGGTGGCCGAAATCACGGATCGGGAGACCCACACCCGGCGGTGGCTTAGGAGCTTCCATACGGCCGAGCTCGCGTCCATGGAGTACGACCACTGGCAGGTCCGCTACCATAGCGCGGTGGCCCGACTCAACTTCCCCTTCGGCACCGCTCCGGTCCACCTCGTCCCGCCGAAGCCGGGGTGGTGAGCTCGACTATGGTGCGGGAGGAACACGAGGCCGAGGCCGTCGATGAGGCCTACATGCAAGAGCTCCGCCGGCAACCCCCAAAGCTCGTGGAGGCGGAGCAGATGATCTTCGCTGACGTCGGCGGTGAGGTTAACGTTATCTCCTCCTCCGATGAGGTCAAAGGCGGCGAGGACATCAGTAAGGTGGGCGCGCGAGGATGAGGAGATCAATGTCAATGAGCGAAGGAGTGTCTTCCCTGACGAGGAAGATGATGGCACCAGCACAGAACCAAATCGCGACACACCGTACCTGACGAGGAAGGATTGGCACGACCTCAAATTCGATCGGAAGTAGTTTAGTTAAGCTTAGTTTAGTTTAAATTTGTGTGTTATGTTCGGTTGTGCAGAACTATCTACGTTTATGTTTGAATGCATGCTACTTTCGGTTCAAATTGCTTTGAATTTGATTAATGGGGTAAACTTCAATTTAATCAACATGGCAGTGGACGCCTTGGCTACTATTCTTGATTAATGGAGTAAACTATGGTTCAGATTCTATTTAGGGAACCCCTTCTCCCTGTTCCTCTTCAACATGGTAGCGGACGCCTTGGCTTCTATTCTTGACAAGGCGAAGGCGAGAGGCCACATTCGAGGATTGGTTCCCCATCTGGTGGGAGGGAATGGCGTTTCCCTCCTCCAGTACGCAGACGATACCATCATCACGGTTGAGGGATCTAGAGATGATATCATGAACATCAAATTCCTCCTTCTCTGCTTCCAGGGGATGTCGGGTCTTAAGATAAACTTTGCTAAGAGCGAGGTGATGGTGATGGGCTATTCCCCCTCCGAAAGCTAGGATATTGCCAACCGGCTTAACTGTCCGCTCGGCTCCTTCCCACTTCTTACTTGGGAATCCCCATTAGCGACTCCCGACCCTCTGTCGCGGACTTGAGGCCTACGGTGGGCAAGCTCCATCACCGCATTGAACCCTGGCAGGGCAGATGCTTGTCTAAGGCCGCGCGTACAATCCTCATCAATTCATCTCTATCCAGCCTCCTCCTATTCATCATGAGCTTCTATAGCTTGCCCGAGACGCTTCACCACGAGATCCGCACGATCCAGGCTCGTTTCTTCTGAGCGGGCGAGGGGACAGGAAGAAATACCACATGGTGCGCTGGACGGAGATGTGCAAGCCTAAGGACCATGGCGGCCTGGGCATCATGTCATCCAAACGGATGAACATTGCCCTATTGACCCGGTGGGTGTGGCGCATAGCCAATGGGGACGGTGGCCTATGGCTCCATATCATCCGAAACAAATACCTAGGTGGCCGACCCCTTGCGTTTTGTCAGCGGTCCGGTGGCTCCCAGTTCTGGCAATCCGTCATCTAGTTGTTGTCTGCCCTCCGCATCGGGGCCTCCATCTCGGTGGGATCGGGCACTGACACCTTATTCTGGTTCGATAGATGGGCGGGTGATACCCCTTTCGCGACCCGCTTCCCGGACCTATTCTCCATTGTGGTTGACCCTCGGGTCTCGGTTGAGACAACCCTTATTGACTTAGGGCGTCTCGCGTTCCGACGACCTTTCGGGCCTGCGGAAATAGCCACATGGCATGAGCTCCTTGACGCCATTGCACTTCACGAACCGAACCTCGACTCTACGCATGACCGTGTGGCCTGGCGCTTAGAGCCCTCGGGCAGATTCTCCACGAAGTCCATGTACCGCGCCATCGTAGCCACCCTGCCCCAGCCCCTTCGAGGTGATATGGGCGATCTGTCTGCCTTTGAAGATCTGAATCTTCTTGTGGCAATGGATCCGCGGACGAATCGCGTCCGGCGTTGAGGTGCTGAAACGTAATGGCCCTAGTGACGGTCTCTGCCCTCTGTGTGGGACCGCGGAAGACTCTAACCACATCTTCTTATGTGTCTCAGCCCAATTTCTCTGGAGTTGCATGCAGGAGATGTTCGGTGGCAGTTGGTGCCACACCAACTTCCCAGACCTCTTCGTTGCAGTTCAGGCATCCCCTCGACGTGTCGCCACATTAGGTGGCTGACCATTTGTGGCCTTGCCTGGACGCTCTGGACGGTTCGGAATACGCTAGTCATCCAACGTATTCCTCTTCGACATGCCACCGACGCGGTTTTTCAAATTTTGTAGTTTCTTGCAGCTCTGGCGGCCTCTTAGCCGTCCCCAGGATCAGGACGCCAGCAACATCACCATTGCTGATCTCCGCGCGATGACTCTCCGATTGGTACAGCCGCTTCCCCCGCCTCCTCCTGAGCCCGATTAGTGCCCCTTGGCTCACCTGCTTTTTATGTTTATTTGGGTTTGTTGAGCTGTGCCCTCAGCAGAACCTCCTGCATTATTTATTATGATATTTGGGTGTGTGATTTTATTGTGATACTTGATGGTCTTTGGTGGTTTGCTTTATTTATAAAGCGGGGCGAAAGGCCTTTTCAGTAATTTAGAGATAGGCTAGAAATGGCGTAAAATTAATGAATCCGAATTTTACTGGGTTAACTTACAGGCTAGAGACGGAGGGAGCAATGTACCATTTCTCTTCTTGGACCCTCGCGGCCTCTCCGCTTTTTGACAAGAGCACCCTCCGCTCACAGGAAATCCGGAGACCCCACTTCCTCACGCTGCTCCACCGCCGTAGCCGCCATGGCCGACCGCCTCGTCCTGCTCGTCCTCGTCGTCGCCGCCGCATCCCCCACCGTAGCCTCCCCAGTGGCCGCCGCGCGTCCCTGCAACACCCTCTTCATCTCCTCCCACTCGGCCAACGCTAACCCCAGCAACGACCCCGACCACCGCTCCCCCATCACCACGACGGTCATCACCGTCTTCCGCATCCGCCGCTTCGGCCCCCACTTCCTCCGCACCCAAGGCCACGCGCATCCCCACCTCAACCAGCACCACCACCACCACCTACACTCCATCCCCGCCAACATCCAGATCCGCCGCCCCGAGCTCCCAGAGCCTCCCCACTCTGCGGCCGGCGTTGCCGCGAGCATCCAGGAGCGCGTCAAGGACATCCTCGTGGTCCTCGTCGGGATCCTCTTCGGTCTCGGCTGCGGCGCGCTCACCGCTGCCTCCATGTACCTCGTGTGGTCCGTAATCGCCGGCCCCGGCGCGTCCTCCCACTACGACGAGCTCTACGGCGACGAGGCGTCCGACTCCGAGAGCCCCAAGAAGGTTGGCTATGTCATCATCCCCGGCGTCGAGGCCTACGACGGTGGTAAGAACTAGATTCTAGGGTTTCCCTTTCCCAGGAGTGGCAAGTTCCATGATATGCCCGTGTGCTGCTGTTTGTGTGTTGCGTAATAATCCGTAAAATGCCTCTGTGATATGTAGTTGGGCCGTAGTAGTGTTGTGCCCTCCATGTGAATACGCTCTTGATGCGCACTTATGCTGTGAGTGTGCTTCATTTCTAGTAATGAACTTATGGATGAATGTCCTGAAATGTTATAAGTATTCTGAAATTCATAATGTTTGCTCTGTTGCTAATTGTTGATGTGACACTTGGGGGTCGTTGGTAATCTGTTTATTAGGTTAAATTGTTAAACATCGTTCTTAAGGGCACGCTTGTTTCTCGCAACCGCCATGGTTGAAACTTTGGAGGTCTTACTGGTCTGGTGCTGTTATAACTCATATAAGCATTTATAAGTGCTTACTGCCAACACATGCTAGCCGTTTACTTGTTTGGTCATATTCATCAGTTTTACCTATTCATTGACTTACCCCAAGTGCTGATGACTATAAATGTACAATGTTTGCTTGTTAATCGGACAATTTTATCTGGTGCTATCGATTCTAGATGCGGCATAAAATTGCTCACCAGTAGCCTTGTACATTTGACAGGAAGGTCAGCTTGTATATTGACAAGTGGTAGATGTTCTTGATGATGAGAACCTTTGACAAGTTTATCCCATTTTACTGTTCTACCCCTCCGTTCCTAAATATATGACGTTTTGGTAGTTTAAATTATATGACGTTTTGGTAGTTTAAATTAAACTACCAAAATGTCATATATTTAGGAACGGAGGGAGTAGAAGCCAAATGCTGATCTAGGTTAAATTTAGTTCTTTGTCTTGGATCTGCTTAACTGTGAATGGTGTATGCATTCAGCATGGTGCATAAGCACAGTTTTGTAGGTAGGCGGTACTTACCCAACGATATTATATCTTGTTTTTAGCATAACGATGTTATATCTTGGGTAAGGGGAATGCGTCCATGTCGGTTTCAGCAATGTTCCTTCAAAATTACAATCTCATCTTTTTTTTTGAGAGAGAGTATGCAAAATGCGTACCATAGCTTTATAGAAGAGAGAAAGTCATTATACAAGAATCTGTTGCCCCTAGCCACACCTCAGCCAGGGCAACCATAGCTCCTACTCCTGAAAAAGAAACTACTCCACACAGTCGCTGTATACCATTAGTTCCGGGCATAATTGATTCGATACACGGGCCAATAGGCTGAAGAGGAGTACAACAAGGAAAGAACCGGAAGAATAGGCATCCAGGAGTTCACCAGTTTTGTACTTACAGAGATGTGCCGGAGTTAAATTCACCCGCGGTCATTGTATTTGATCACAAAGTTCATTTTGGTCACTGGATTACGGAATACCCAAATTACGGTGCTTATCATTACATTTGTTAACAACGCAGGTCACAATGTACGCT